TCACAACGCAAACACAATAATGATAGGAGGGTGGGGTCTATTTAGGGTATGTGGCCCCACATGCCATTTAATTCATAACAAGAAGCAAAGATGCCCTCAGGTTCTTGATTCTTCCTTCTTCTCTCAAATCATTACATCTCTGCTTTCATGGCTCTCCGATCCCTCCCCCATCATTTACCTGTTTCCCCTGCTTTTTTCTTTGTCTCTTTTCTATCACACTCTTTGATTCCTTACACCCTATCTTTTGTGTCATCTTTTTCACCCTCTCTTTAGTCTTCCAACCTAACACACAGATATTGGCATAAAAGTTTGACATCTTTATGTGTTTATTAACTTTCTGGGATTTGATTTTCTTAAGGTTTACTCTCAATAATAAGTTTTCTTGTAGATTTCTCTCTCTCTCTATTTTGTGAGCTTAATATCTGAGGCATCATTGCATTATTATATACTTCTCCGGTTTTACATATAAGACCCATTTTGTAGTGTAATTTTTACAATATAAAATAGATCTTATATTTACACTACAAAATATGTCTTATATTTAGGACCGGAAGGAAACATATACAGGGATGAATCTGTTTGGAGATTGTGTCTGTTGAAGACAGTGCCTGTAAGACAAAATTTTTGCTCTCAACAGACATGAGCACACAAAGAGGTTGACTCTTGTCCTTTGCCCAGATTACTTGTCCCCTCTCTCTCTCTGATTTTTCACCATATTCTTACAAAACACACGTGACATCTCACCATAGTAGAATTTTATTCTAGTGTTTCATGTGACGTTGTTCTACCAAATTATATGTGGAAGGAAATTATTGATATTAATTTCACTTGTAAATGGTCAAACTGAAAAATGTCTAAATAGGAAGGACCCAACGGGCAAAGGAAAAAAATTATTAAGAGACCGGACTATTTATCATTCATGAAGAACCAAATTAAACTCTATAAAGAAACATGTTAAATAATAATAAACGATTAAACCAAAATAGGATTTTGCGCTTTGATCCAGCGAGAAGAGCTTCATAAGCTAAACGAACAGACTTGCCGCTAATAAAGCACTCTAGAATTTGGGCCTACATAATGGATCCTAAACGTTAGATTGGGCCCAACATTCCACAAACTTGTGCATCTGGATAATGCAATGTTTGGTTTATGATTCGGCCAGGTATTCATAGGTGGGAAGGTTCATCATAGCGGAAGGGATATGGCAAATCAATATTTGAATCATCATTAAAAAAAAATGTCTATATTTAGTATCTGATAGTATCTTAAACATGATTGCTTCTAATAAGACAATACTTATACTTAGCAAAAAGAAAAGGGTAGACGGTTGACATGCTAATAGAGAATGGAATCTGGAATCTAAATCCCATCGGAGGAAACATAAGCAGTGATGATATGTTGATCTGGCAGCATACGAAACAGAAGAGAGGAGAAGTCAGGTCCAGGATTTCACGAAGAAATCACACTAGTATTCTATATAAAGGAGTTTGATATAAGGGAAGTTCTGCCCTTTCATACTCTTGGGACTTTTTCTTTGATATTATAATCTGGTTAATTTAGTTCGGGGTTTGTAGCTTTCCCTCTCTACAAAGATGGCTCTTCTAAGATTCGAGCTCAAGACCCAAAAAGATTTAACGGAGCCTTACACTGCTAGACCAAGTCTTTGTTGTTGGAACTCTTTTTATATACTTTCAACTTTGCTTACTTTCGAACGGGGATCATGACTTGGCATACTTTATATGATATCAAGTTGACATAAGATTCCGACATGACTAAAAATGAGAAACTTTAACAAAAAACAAGGATGAAGGGTCATTATCTTTGGTGCTCAATAAAGATAATGTGACGAATTTTGAGAAGTGGCTAGACGATATGCTGTTGAACCAACATGCATATGGAGTGTTGAAGGCCACTCAATGAGGGTGAGGTTAGAATTAATGTAAATGCCCGGGCCCTCTTCTGTTGTAGTTTTGTGGGTAAGTGTGTCCAAAAAAGAGAGTCTCACGTTGCTTAAAATTGAGAAAACCTTGGATTATATATACAAAGATATGAGTTTGGATTGGTGAAACAATCAAGAGGAGGAGTGAGTTCAGATGCATGACAATGAGAGGAGCATGCGCGACGAAAATCTTTAGTGTTTTGATCGTTACCTATGATTTGTTTTTCTTGGTAGCAAGACAATAAATAAGCTAACCCCTTCAACCAGCTCTTGTATTTAAAACTAGAAGTTTATCAATACTAATTCTGATTTATAATATAAGAATTAATTTGACTTTTAATTTGGTCCTAAATATTAGATCCCAATCTATTTTGTCTTTTATATTTATCATTTTTCCCAAGATAGTTCTTGTAGTAGTTGTACATATTAAAGATTCAATCAAATGTTAGTTCTAGTTAATATATATGATTATCAAAGGTATTTTAGAGAAAACAACTCCTAATTATTACAAATAACTAACTCAACAAACTTTTTTAATATACTCAAATTAGTTAACTAGCTTTTATATTAAGGACTGGAGGTAGTGGCATATTTGAAGGGCGGGAAAAAAAATAAAGCTACTGAAGTTAGTTGCTTTCTTTATTTTCTGTTTCTGATTATTGAGTGTAATGATTTTCATGAAAATTATTGAAGGGAATTTAAAAAAAAAAAAAAAAAGCAGTGGACAGGCATTTGACAGTGACTGACATAATCTTTAGCATAAATCTTAACAAGATCCAGCAATCTAAAAATTTACAATTTAGCAAAGCCTTGAGTTGAGTTTGTAGCTTCTTCTTAAAATTTACAGATTAATTCCAATGATGGTTTAATCAAGGTCCATGGAAAGGTTCGAGCAAGGAACACTACAACAATGCATGGAGGCATATATGGATTTTAACAATTCAAGTGTATCTATCTGTTCTACATTACTGAAAGAAAAGAAGCTAATCAACCAAATCCTTTATTGAATTTATTTTATTCTTCCTGGAAGATCAAAGAATATGAAAGACCTAATCATCAAGAAGCAAAGAGGAGACATGGAGACAACATAATTGCATTTATTTTAAACACCAAAGTGACCAAATTCTAAATTTGTGTAGAAGGCCAAAGAAGTTGACAAGTCAAAGAAAAAAAGGAGAAGGCATGAATGGCGTAGGACAAAAGTGTCGTCATCTCATCTTAGTAAGATCACATAATATAATGTTTGAAAGATGATAGTACATCCGCTCCCAAATATATAAGAGCTATATAACTAATTTGTAAATATTAAAAAAATAGTTAAATTAATTATTTGTAATAAATGAATGTCATCTTCTTTAAAATAACTCTATCAACTATATGCATTGAAATTACTTCTTGATGAATACTTATTAACAATGTAATCATTATAAGCATTATTTAGAAGAAAATGAATAAATATTGAAAAAAAAGTATGTTGAAATCCTATACTCCTCCGATCATAAATATAAGACCCTTATACTCAAGTATAAGGTTTTTATATTTAAGATCAGAGGAGTATTTAAAATCAAATTAAATTTTTAACTAACTTTTATAAATAATAAGGATAAGATGCACTGATGTTTGAAAAAATATATTGGACTCTGACCAATTTAAATCAAACAATGTAGAACTGTAAAAGCAATGAAGATCTACCAGTGAGTTTTTAACCTAATTTTATGCTGTGAGCTCAAATTTAAGATCTCCGATTAAACCGGCACAATCTGCTACTAGCTGAACTATGCAATGTATCCAAAGATTTTAGATGCGATTGTTTTAGCATTTGTGGCCATCAATATTATTTTTCTTGGTTGAAGTTGACGTTTGAAAGTTGAGGTACACTGATTTGATCTCTGCTTTTTCTTTTTTTGGCTTACAATTGATTCGATATTTATTAAAATTAATTAATGTGGACCACTAAATCATGGCTATCTCATATGGAAGGAAGTCCATTTGGGTATTGGTCCCCATCCCCAGATTTTGAGAGCTTGTTGGATAGATCGTGGATGAAAAATATCCAAGCATTTAAATCATATCTTTTGGTCTCCAAAATAAAGTCATATCTTTTGGATCAATCATTTAAGTGGTAGGAAGACAATAAATTAAAGTTGGATTAAGAGTAATATCAAACTATATATCAATTTATAAGCTAAGTAAATTAAATCTTACATTTATAATTAAAATTAACTCCCTAGTTAGTTCTTACATCTATCATTTATCATTTATTGGAGAGTATTTCCATACTTTTGAGCTTTTTTCATATTCAAATTCATGAATATCTTATGAATTTTTGCGATCCTATCGTTATTTAACTCGCAAGATTTTTTTCCTATGATATAATGTAATTCTGTAAAATAAGTATATATTTAATTAAATTTTCATCTGTTTTATTCTTTAACATTTGATTTGGGGCATTTTTATTTTTTTTATACATTCTACTGCTTTTTAATTTAGTTATTTAAATATTATTATACTTCAAATTGCTTGTGCATACCTTATCATCAATTTAGGCCTCATCAGCAATTTAATTTCTAATACCTATGGTAAGAATAAACCGGGTTGGAAAACTCTACTTTTTGCACTCACAATCCAACCCTTGCTGAGATACTCAGCCCTTATTCATACCACCCCCCCCCCCCCAAAAAAAAAAAAACGACTCAAGTTTGTTAATATTTTGATTCTGTATTAGGGAGAGAACATGCAAATAGGTCCGAATGAAATTAGGGATTTTGAGATCAAGTGGGGAGAATGATACTATTAATATGTGTATTAATTAATAAAAAGGTAATTTTAGAATCTGTTCTGAAATATTCTTGATTATATTAAAAATTAGATTAAAATATATATTTAAAAAATAATGGGGAAGTCTCTGATCAAAACAAAACTGAAGGATTATCAACATATTTTTTCTAAACATTGCATACATTAATATTGATGATATTAATATCCAACTAAGATATTCATATACAATTCAAGGTTGGAAAAAAAAGACTTATTCAATGTGATGGCAATAGTGGAGAATACTAGAGACGAAAACATTCATTCATTTAATCATTTTTGACACTTCATATCATGGCCAAAAAAGAGCCATATAATTTGACTCTGTTATAAACCCTCTTAGCCCACACTAATAAAAAATGCCAAACAAGAAAAAACAATTGTTTGGCAAAGATGAAGTGAAGAATCTCATAATTGTCCATACTCCTTTCTGAACCGGGAATTCTGTAATCTCTTTTGATTATTGAACACTATAACCACAGGCCTTCTTGGACCAGTTACACCATTAGAGACATCAGTTAAACCTGACTTAGGGAAAGACCCTAAAAAAGGACTATTTGAATCATGTTACATTTTCAAAGATGTTAAATCATTGAATCAGCCATTACTGCTGAACTCGGAGAGCTTGAGGCAGAGCCTCATGAGCAGACACACAGAGAGTCTGCAACTTGCAATCAGCTGAGATGAACTGAGATGCTTCTTCCTTAGAAATCTTGTTGATCAAGTGAATCAAAACCCTCTCAAGCTCTTCCCCATCACTCCATTCATGGATTTCGGCCTTCACAAGCGAAGGATCTTTGCATATCAAATCCCACACAGGAAAGTTCTTCCTTGGCATCATGAAGTCTCTCTCTTTCAGCCTCAAGCTTGGGCAGTAGTCCCCACTTCCATCACCAAGATAGATAATCCTCTTGCTTCCTTCAGGGCATACTGAATCTTGAATCCTCTCTATGATCAGACCCTGTAATGGAAGAAAGATTGAATCAATTACAAATGATGTATAAACAGGAAGGTACCTGAATTTATCACAAAAAAGTATAAATTTTCCGATCGGATGTTGATTGGTGGTTACTTTATTCCAAGTGTCTAGAAAATTTTATAAGTATTGCTTATTTTGACTATTACGTCTGAATTGGAGCATACGTCAAACTTTAATCATTATTTTTTTCCTCCTCAGTGTTGAATATAATGATCTCTATTGAGGGAGCAAAGAATCCAGATTCTTCCGTGTTGACAAGCCTTTAAATACAGCACAACTCATGTCTAGATTCTTTGGTGGGGTCACTGAGGCCGGACCCACTTGTATGTTTGCCAAAATCAATTCAAGTTGTTTGATTATGATTAATAATCAAGGGTGAGTTTTCTTCTTCTTCCTCTTCTTCTTCTTCTTCCATCTAGAGCAGAAAAGCAAGAGAATTGCAGGATGAGAATAGAGTACCTTGCACATGTTTGGAGGGCAGAGACTGCATCCATGGGGAGCTTTGTTGAAGTCATGATAAGGCAAAATCCTCAACCTTCCTTCCTCATTAACATAGCCAGGATTAGTGTTAATCTCAGAGAAGCACTCCTTTATTCCCAAATGCTTCAAAATTGTCTCAATGAAGAACATATTTGCATCACTCACAACCCTTAAATCACACCTGTAGAACAAAAACGCCACCATATATTTCTTCTTCTCCCAAAGGAAAGAAAAACAAGGAAACAGAACTTATGTTTGTTTAAATAGAAGAAGAGAAAGATGCATACCCTAAAGCATGAGCTGCTTTAATGGCAGGGACTACTCTGGGATGTATAGGAATCCTCTTCAGAACTTCTTCAATCTTCTCAATGGTTACTCCTAGTGCATGAAGCTCCATCATCATCCTATCCTATAAAATCAGTACCAGAAAAGGAAGACTCAGTTATTTCTGTCATAAAGCAACAATACCAGAAGCACAAACTTCGAAAGCAAAACTTGTGACACTAAAATGACCCAAAACATTTTCGTACTATGACCCCAACATCAATGAATTGCCTCAGGGAAATTCACAATTTCATCGTTCAAGAGGCAATGAGATGGTAATATCCTTGAGAGAGCAAATATTCTCTGAACTTGAAACAAAAACCAGACTTGCATGGACCATCATCATTGAAGAAACATAAGTTTAAATCTTCCCAAATAAAAATCTTACCATGAGAGAGTTCCAAGGCATGGTGGGAAGAAGCTGGTTGAACAAGTCCGTGGCACCGAGCTCGTCGATGACCCAATTGTCACTATCGCAGTCAACAATGGTCTTGTCGAAGTCGAAAACCACCACAATTCCAGACATTGTTAAGTAGATCTCAATGACCCAGAAGAACAAACCCTCTTGAATGTCTCGTGGTTCTCTCAAAATCAATTCTTGGCGTGGATCCTACAACTCTCGGGACGTGGGTATTTATAGCAAACACCATGGCTAAAACCTAACCCCAAAAAAAAAAAAAGAGAGAGAGAGAACAAAAAACGGTTCTTTTGATTCCAAAGGAATATTACCTTTAGGGCTTAAGAAGGAGGCTACCATGAAGGTCCCCATTTCGTGCAGATTGCTTTCTCTAGAACACATCTTTCTCCCGAATCAAAATCCTGACGGCTAGATTTCAAATCTCATCATCTCCGTTGGATCTGTTGACTTCTCGCTTTGGTCAGCAGAATCGAACGGTGAAGAGATGGGAAAGGATTCCAAGCCAAGAGACCAAAAACGCGGGCGGGAACAAAATGGAATATTCCAAAGGAATTCAATTTTAGGTGGCCACCTTTGAAATTCACTCGCCACTGTCTCCAAGAATATTCTGGGTATGGTTCTGTTTCGGTGATCCTTAAAAAATTTATTTATTTTCCGGTGAAAAGGAATTTATTATTTATTTTTCTGAGTATGAAACTTTTAGAAAATTGCTAATTTTAGGCATGTGCGGTGTTTGTACAAGTTTCCAAGTAGATGAACCTGACCGCGTGCAAATGTTAGAGCTCAAATTGGATTCTATTTGCTTCATTCTCACATTTGTATGTTTGTGATTTTGTAAATTATTGGTAAATATATGATCAAAATTCAAAGATAGAGTCTAATCTTTGTCACCATGTGCTTGAGGATGATGGATACATCACCCTCCACCCTGCAATGTTTATATTATTTTGAATATTCCTGTGGCTGTTAGTTTTCACATGTGGGTCAAAATAATTAATTAATGTAAAATACCATGAAAATAAATCGTAGCATGAAATTTTCTGGCGTAGAACCATGTTGTATTTTAGGAACCCGCCTCTCAATTTAAATTGCCTTTTCCTCAAAAAATTCATTTTACCAGCTCTATTTCATAATTACCAACACCATTAATTTTAAAATTATCAAAAATTAATCATAACGATTAACAGCTAATCTCTTTGTCCTTGTTTATATTAAATAATATTTATTGTTGTCAAACTCGCGAAGTGATTCTTTGGGTTTAAGGTCTTACCATTTTTGGTTTGCAAAATCTTGTTAACTTGCTCTTAAACTTATACTCCTCCGGTCCTAAATGTAAGACCCTTATATGTGTGTGTATAAGGGTCTTACATTTAGGACCGGAGGAGTACTAGCTATAAACTTAGTTGAACTTATAAGTTTACTCACCGAGTTTATGTTTTTATATTTTTAACTTATAAGATCATATCAACTTATTCTTAAACTCGAGTTAAAGTTTTTGATTTAATTGTGTTTAGTAATTTTATATATTAATTTTATAAAAAAAATTTATTGAATATGGTAAATCATGAATGTTAATGAATTTAATTTCAATTATTTAGATTTAAAATATATTTAGATGAAATAGTTCTCAGTTTTTATATTTTAATTATTTAATTATATACTTTTAAAATCAATTTATTAATAAAAGTAAACTCGTACGAGTTCATAATTCAAGCTTACGATCTAGATTTCCATCTCAAATTTAACAACTTTGATAATGTTTTGAAATATAAGAAACAATTTCTCTTTGTCTGAAATTTTAAATTAATGTTTTTATTTTTACTCATGTTAAATATATGTTATTTTTTTCTGTAATAAATTTTCACTCATTATCTCTCACATGTTTTTTTTAAATAAATAAAAGTATAACTAAAAAAGTGTATATATATCTTGTGCATTCATTTTTTTTTAACAAAATTTAAGTAATATTTTGAATCGTGTGATGCGGAATTTTAATAGTTGTTTCTTATAATTTGAGGTAGGCAAGCATCAAGCTCACCGTGAAATATGTTTAACTTGAGATAGTAAAGTCTTTATTATTTGTCATTTAGAGCAGGCACATCTTTGTGCATTACAGCTATTACATTTAAGTTCTTTGCAAACCCAACCCCACAAGTAATCTCAATAGATCAATTCAAACTTTTAATATGATAAGACTATCCACAAAATTATTTATTTATTATTCATATCACAAAGCATATACGCACAAGTTGGATCTTAAAATTCAGTTCAAAAAATATTTATAAAGATACTCATAAATTACCTGTTGATAAAATGCTTGTGCCAATGATGATATTCGAACCTATGCATTTGTGAAGAGTGAATTATATCCTTGCTGGTAAAAAAAAAAAAAAGAATTATCTCCTTATTAACTTAATGAACTTATTCTGGCAAACCAATGCCTGATTCTAATTACTAACCCATTTTTTAAACTGTTTTTATTATCATTTAAAAAATAACAGAAATACAAGTTTGTTTTGTGGCAATCATAATTAGCTTTATTGTTCTTAAGGTCTATTTATTTTTGCATCTTGATAATATGCTTTTGTTCATTAACAAAAAATATATTAATTGACTGGTCAGAATTATATTTTTTAATTAATTGGGCAAATAAGCCTTTTGACTTGCTTTTTGTATGTGAATTGCCTCAGTTAATGAATGAAATTTCTGGAACCCTTTTCTTTTCTTTTACCAAGTCAAATCTCTAGAGATTGACTAAGAAGAGGATGAAGTCTAATTTCTTGGGAGTTAATCCATTATATTTCTCCTGATTGATCATGACCAATGTTCCGTCTGAAAGAAATTAACTTAGTTCAAACTAATTAGACTTTGGTCCCCTTTAAGGACAAAAAGTAAATCTATAATCAAATTATCATTAAATAACAATTAAAGAATAATCTTATAATGAATAATCAAAGAATCTTAAACCTTGATATCAAATAGCGTAGTTTAATACTCCTCCAATAGTCCAGTCCTTATGATAAAAATTACGTGATTGATAAAAATTGTTTTTCATGGGTGCAATCAATATGATAATTTTAAAAAAATTATAAGTTTGAGTGGCAAATTAAATTGAAATTTAAAATTTTATATTTAGAACCAAAACGAATTTCTCAATTAAATCTTCTATTTAACATCAAAACACTTTGTTGAGTTTGGTATTTTTAAATTTAAGTTTTAAAAATAAATGAGTGATTTATCTTTAATATACATCCCATGCCACAAAGATAATGATGATTCATATTTTTAAATTTTGATATTCAATCTTTAATTAATTTAGTGGGTTTGGATGTACCAATGGGTTTTGTCCTACAGATTTTGATGTTCCATCTGCGTCATCACTACCATTATTAAATATTAATAACATATTATAGTTGATCATGACAAATCAAATTTCCTCACGCGTGCATGTTCTTCCCATTGCTTGCAAAGTATTAAAGAATTTTAAAAGGCTTCAATCATGGAAAACGTTAATAAATTTTAATTCTTTTTCACTAAAAACACAGGTAATATAGTAGTCTATATAAGGTTACAAGTGTGATCTAATTTGCAACTTTCTATTTATAGGAAAAATTTTATGCCACTAAATCATAAGTTATTAACAGGGTTATAAAAATTAAATAATTTAAATTATAAAGCTTATTTTATTGATTTCATAATTTGAAAGATTATTTTATGTTATCATCCTGCAAAATAAAATGTCATTAAACTATTAAACTAATATATACACACACATACATATATGTATATAAATATGTTTGGTAATAGCTTTGCTTATTGGCAAAGTGACGTCTCTAATTGTGATAGGTGATGATGTGTTTGTGGATTGATTAAAGAAATTATTAAAATAAACTAATGATTATTTTATATGAAAAGTTAACTCCCACATTAATATGCAGGTAATATATGGAAAACTACTTAACCTAATAGGATTAAATTTGTTGCTGAATATGGAAATATCCAAATGACGGAAATGAACTATGTGTTCAACAATTTTATACAAAAATAATATTTATGTTTTTCATGTTCGTAGTTTATTAATTAGTTTATTTTATGATTTTCTTAATTATAAATTGAATTTTCATCTAAATAAGTTCTTTTGAAAAGATTGAAAGAGGATTCAAGCAATCCTGCCGTGAAGTGTCACTTCGAAGAGTTTGAGAGAGACTCAAATTGCGAAGTATCAGCCCGTGCCAATTAAGTACTTTTTTTATTGCACGCGCGATAATTTTAAATATTTGTTTGAGATTATTATTTTTAATTCTTGACATTGAACTTTTTTCCCTAAAATTTAAAATTAATATCTTTTATTCTTGAAATTTGAGTTTATTTTATCTTGATCTCTGAAATTTAATTTTATTTTAGTTTGCCTAGATTTCAAGAACTCCAAGTTTTAAGGATGGAAATTAAATTTTAAGAATTAAAAATTGTATTAACACTATTTCTTTTGTAGAAACTAATTAAAAATTTCTTTTAATTTTAACTAAAAAATTGCATTTAATTCTATCTCTTAAATTTATAATTTGTTTTAAATAATTTCAATTAATTATACATATTAAAAGGAGATTTTTATCAATTGCTAGTTTTCAATGCAAATAATTAAAAAAAGTATCTGAAAAAAATATACACATTTTTATAAATAATTTTTTAATGTAAAATAGCTATCTAATTTTAGATTTAAAAACGTATGGAGCGTGATTTTCTTCCCCTCCCCTAAGTGTAGACTTAGAAGAGATCTTAAAAGAGAAAGTACACGGACATTTAAGAAAGTAACATTTCATTGAATTTTAAAAATTTCAACATTAATCTTAATTTTTTGATTTAATCGAAAAAATGTTGCGAAAGATTATTTCCTACAAAAAAGCCTTGGTCTTTGCCTTTTTTTCTTAAAAAAAAAAAGGATTCACAGTCCTTAAACGTAATTAAAAATTTTAGAATTTTGCTTTATAGATCTGGATAATTTTGAATATTTATTTTTAATTTTCCCTCATATTTCATAATTTATAATACACACACACACACACGAGAGATTTGTTTAAAAATAAGTAGGTGAACCTACCACTTGTTTTGAAGATGATAACATGCCTACCACACGTGTCATCCTACTAAGGCTTCTTCTAAAGTTGCATGTCATTTTAATTAAAAAAATGGCCAAATAAAATGCTCCTTCATGTACGTATTTATAATTAAGTTTATGTGAATAAATAATAATAAGCGTGGGTTTGTAAACACTTAAAATACATGTTTTTACATTTTACAAAATACAACTCTTTTCACATATTTATATGGTACAGTACACAAGTTTAAATACATAACATTATCTTCAATTCTTACTATAAAAGTTAGATAATTTGAGGATATTAAGAAAATTAGTTAACTTAATCATTAATAATAAATATACATTAATTTTTCTAAAATATCTTTATTAATCATGTGACATTAAATTATTTTCTAATTAAACCCTTCTAACATATATCACTCTAGTCTTAAATATAAGTCATTGTAACACATTCTCATATGCTAAAGAATGCATTAAATTAACAATTTTTTTCAATTTTATCCTTATTAAATGGACAATTTTTTTTTTCAATTTTATCCTTATTAAAGTTTTCTTTCTCTCTACATTTACAAATCATTCTTATATCTCTCCATTCTGTTTTCTTCTTCTTTCCAATGTGAATTAAATAAGAGTAAAATTGAAAAACAATAATTACATATACTACAAGTGACTTACATTTAGGATCAAAATAATATAATCAATAAGGTTAGGAAAATGATTATAAATTTAGCAGATAAAGTGAATTAAAATACTATCTGCGGTCCTATTTATAAGATCTTATTTGTAATCTATAAAGAAAGTCTTATAAATAGGACAGGAGGTAGTATTATATTTATAAAGATCATGTTTAGTTGTAGTTATTATACTAAGGATCTTTTAATCTTTAACGAATATTCCAATTCCAATTTCTAAGAATACTAACAATTTGTACAACTTTAGCATTTTTTTCCTTTTTATTTATTTATTTTTAATAAATCTCCCAATCCAAATCCTTGCGGGCAGTGAACGCTGCATCAGTATTGGGTTTGGTCACGTTCCATTTTTTTCCAGTTTGATGCTAAAGAATATTCATAAATTCTGATCCTTTAATGTTAGATAAACATCAAATCAAATATTATATTAATTTCATTAAACACATTTCCAAATCAAGCAAATAAGTATGTCTATATAAGTAGCCGTGGCTTGTTTAAATGATTTGCCATCTATTTTCCCTAAGCAAGGTCTTAACTTCAAATTTCTATGAATAATTAAGAAAACTAGCCCAACTTGATTTGGATTAATCAGAGTCTTAAAAAACTTTAAAAATCGGTTATTATATATCTAATAATTAGCATCTGCATTCAGTACTTATCGACTCGATGAGTACTGAGCGTTCAGCACTCAAAACGTCCCACGTTTTGAGTTCTAGGCAATAAACATTTTTTTTCTTTCAATGTAACATTTTTTTAAGCACATGCAGCCTTCCAAAATTTCCCAATATATTTGTATTTATGCATATTTTTTACTTCACCCAAACAATACTGAAATATTCTCTTTAATTTAATTACTTTTTAATTTTATTCATGTTTAATATATATTTTATCACAATGATAATTGATCTAACTATAATAAATGAAAAGTACAAAATTACATATTCATATAAAAAATTTAATTAACTTATAAATAAGATCAAAAAAAATTTTCTAAATAAATAGGACCATATGAGTATTTTATCATTTAATCACAAAAATGATTATCTATTACTACTTTTAGTCTTTAATATAAGAGCTAATTTGACATTTTATTCGGTTCTAAATATAAAATCTCAATCCTCTTTATTTCTCATATTTTTCTATTTTTTTAAGGTAGTCCTTGTAATAGCTGCATATGTTAAATATTTCATCAAATTAGCTAATACGCCTGATTAATAAGGGTATTTTAGGAAAGACAACACCTATTTATTAAAAATAACTAACTTAACTAATATTCTTAATCAACTCAAATTAGTCAATTAGTTCTTATATTAAAAATCAGAAATAGTATTTATTTTTATTCTTAACTCTTCTTAATAAATGGATTATAAATCTATAAATTTTCGGATAAAGTAACATCCAACATTGATATTATTTGTAAATAGTATCCAATATTTTAATCTTATTTATGGTACATTTAATTTTTTTTATCCAGTGTTTTTGAAATTATTTTTCAGTTACATCCAACACCACAATATTATTTATGATTTAGAGGTGCTAAATACATTATAAATAAGATTAGGGTGTTAGATGCATCACATATAACATTAGGATACTAAACACTATGTTACTCTAAATTTTTTCACACATCAATACCATTTTATTTAGTTTGGGTACTCTTTTAATAATGTCTGATAAAGTAAAAAAAAAAAAAACTACAGATGAATAGAATCAGGTTAAGAAATTATGGGAGATTGCTGCATCTTACATGTGAGATGGGGAAAAAAAAGTTGCAGTGAAAAAAAAAATGGCTACCCAGCACTCAAAATAGAAACATTTTGAGTGATGAGCACTCAGTGCTTATTAGTTGATGAGCATCCAAATGTGGACGCCTAATAATTATAAACCGAACCTTGTTTAGAACATTCCTTCCAAGAATATATATGCCCTGTTTGAATTATCATTTGAAATTATTTCTAAGCATATTTTATATAAATCGAGATAAATTTTTCTCATATACTTATTTTATATTCCGTAAATCACGCTTGAAATGGGTCTATAGAAGGTCAAGTGTTTTTGAAATTATTTTTCAGTTACATCCAACACCACAATATTATTTATGATTTAGAGGTGCTAAATACATTATAAATAAGATTAGGGTGTTAGATGCATCACATATAACATTAGGATACTAAACACTATGTTACTCTAAATTTTTTCACACATCAATACCATTTTATTTAGTTTGGGTACTCTTTTAATAATGTCTGATAAAGTAAAAAAAAAAAAAACTACAGATGAATAGAATCAGGTTAAGAAATTATGGGAGATTGCTGCATCTTACATGTGAGATGGGGAAAAAAAAGTTGCAATGAAAAAAAAAATGGCTGCCCAGCACTCAAAATAGAAATATTTTGAGTGATGAGCACTCAGTGCTTATTAGTTGATGAGCATCCAAATGTGGACGCCTAATAATTATAAACCGAACCTTGTTTAGAACATTCCTTCCAAGAATATATATGCCCTGTTTGAATTATCATTTGAAATTATTTATAAGCATATTTTATATAAATCGAGATAAACTTTTCTCATATACTTATTTTATATTCCGTAAATCACGCTTGAAATGGGTCTATAGAAGGTCAAGTGTTTTTGAAATTATTTTTCAGTTACATCCAACACCACAATATTATTTATGATTTAGAGGTGCTAAATACATTATAAATAAGATTAGGGTGTTAGATGCATCACATATAACATTAGGATACTAAACACTATGTTACTCTAAATTTTTTCACACATCAATACCATTTTATTTAGTTTGGGTACTCTTTTAATAATGTCTGATAAAGTAAAAAAAAAAAAAAAAACTACAGATGAATAGAATCAGGTTAAGAAATTATGGGAGATTGCTGCATCTTACATGTGAGATGGGGAAAAAAAAGTTGCAGTGAAAAAAAAAAATGGCTGCCCAGCACTCAAAATAGAAACATTTTGAGTGATGAGCACTCAGTGCTTATTAGTTGATGAGCATCCAAATGTGGACGCCTAATAATTATAAACCGAACCTTGTTTAGAACATTCCTTCCAAGAATATATATGCCCTGTTTGAATTATCATTTGAAATTATTTCTAAGCATATTTTATATAAATCGAGATAAACTTTTCTCATATACTTATTTTATATTCCGTAAATCACGCTTGAAATGGGTCTATAGAAGGTCAAGTGTTTTGGGGTGATAATTTCTTCACTGGCAATGAATGCACCTAAATTAATATATTAGTAAACCAGGCCCAATATACCCCAAAAATAGGCCCAACAAGCCCATCAAGATTGAGAGGATCTTTGGGGCCAACATGGAGAATCTTGGCTCCGTATTTTCTTCAGCTGGTGGTTGGGCTCCGTATTCTCCGAGAGGAGGAAAAAAAAAAGTGATGACTCATATGACTTATCCAGCAACCCAAAAAAAAAAAAAGAGAGAGAAAGACTTATCTCTTATATTTGATTAGACCCTCCATTTATTATTGACAGAAGGCCTAAGGCCTTGAATGAAACGAAATTATGGTATGCATACAGCTCCTTTGGCAGTTAAAATCTACAACACAAATAATTTCAGTCACTTGTGCTGCAGGCCATAGTTGAGATTCTTTCTCCCTCCGAGGTAGTTAGGATTTTTGCGAGAATGGCACAACTCAAATGATTTCAGTGAAGTTGATCTGGTGAAACAAGTCAATTGATATTTGCAGTTTCCCAGAGACATTCACCTACTAGTATAAACAAAGTGGGAAAAGAAAGTGTCAAAAATGAAGTAACCGAACTCATTCTGGAGTTCCATGATTCTTTTGACCATCAGTGATCAAAGAATCACCATAAAAGAAGTATGCAAGAAGCAAGATATGGCAAGCCAGTATTAATTTTCTCAATGGCTAATACCATGGACGAAGTACTTGTTTCCTCTGTACCTGAGTATCCTGTCTTCTGCTCCAACACACCATATATGGCCTTCCAGATCCAAGTTTCCTTTCATTTTTGCAGTTTCCCAGACAAACTTGAATATTCCAAGTGCCTGGTCTAGCTGCTTCACCCCACGCCCAATCATTTTTTCGTCATCTGAGGTCAAAATTCTTCCCATGGACAAGCAAAACCTATCTTTAACTCCACTTTCATAAACCCCACCACGTATATCCACTTCAATATCTGAAACTCTTCTGTATAGGTAATATAACAATAGAGTGAACAAACACCTAGATGAGTGTCCTAATGTTTTGGTAAGCTTCTTCTGTACTAGATTTTCTTGATGTCTAGCTTCCTTGTATCCGATACTATTGTCAACTATAACATCTCTGATTTGAGAGAGACCCTCCTTCATTACCTCGAGCTTGGTCACATGCAACTTAAGCATAGTTTCGCTTCTGAAACATTCAATCAAATCATTGATCATCTCGAGAATGTCTTGCCATTTGTGGGGATCAGAAGGATCAAGGGTTTTAGAAGGTGTGAGTTTCATCCATGAAGCAGTGTCAGGATCAGAGGGAACTGCAGTTTCAGTCAGAAATTTCAAGCAGTTGTGAACAATTTGCTTACCCATTAGAGTACTTTTGGTTGATCCTCGAACAGTTAACAAATCCAAATCAACTTTCATGGCATTCAGAATCTCCTCAAGTGCACCTGTCCATACACGGTGCTGGGTCACTTGGGGGCACACTGTTAAGCGAACTGATTTCCTCTGTTGAGCGGTGACATTGAGAGAATTGCTTATTTTAGTAAGTGAATCAACAACCATAGGCTCTCTAGCACTTGCTTTGCTGAAAGGAGATATTGAATCTTGACTTGTTTTCTGTGCGCGTTTCACCTTTTGCTGAAGTGACGGACACCCAATAAAGGTCCGGACAAGCGATTTCAATATACCCATTTCTTCTTGGATTTTATCATCAACTATGATGGCATTACTGGTAACATCAACAAGCCTTCCATTAATGGCATCCACGTTTTTCAGCAGATGTGTCAATTGTGAAATCCTCGGAAACACATTCGCATACCATTTCAAAGGCAAGACATCTTGGGAAGAAAAAGATTCTTCCAAAGAGTGATATAGCATCGATTTCAGATTCATAACACCAGATTTCTTAGTTCTCATATGAGTGCCATTGCAGAGTAGCTTATGAAATCTCAAGGCCATGTTACTCAATGTCACAAGATTGACCTAGAAACCTATTTTCGCAAATGGGTCGTCTGGTTTATGTGTGTTCGGAGATACAACATCATTGTGGCGTTAAATCAAACGGATGGAGTGCACTTCGTTTCAAAACCTTGAAGAGGCATCATTATTGAATCACCAGTACTTTGGGGAATTGGCATGCACCACAACAGCTCTACCTTCCCTGTTTCAGCTTAGACTTCGTCTACAAAGTTAAGCATTTGAGATATTCAAAGCTCCCGAGCAGCTTAGAATTCAAAGGGTTTTAGATTTTCAGGTTGGTTCAGCGGCGGTGAAGTGTGGTCTTAGGACTTCAGGTTGGCAAATGGGATTGAAATGTCAAGATGCGCCCCTCACTGGCAGGAGCCAAATCATGGCATTTGAAGCAAACCTGCATCCAGTTTATTCAGCCCAGTCAGCAGCAGAATTCACAGTTTAAAATTCATTCAAAACCCAAATTCAAACTCAACAATTGGAGCACAACAACAATAGCCATGAGTAATTACCAATCAGTAGAAACCAAGTTTTAATATTTGTAACAAATTCATAATAAATTTTGAAAACAACCAGAAACCAAATTCTGTCATTTGCACCAAACAACCCAAAAAAAAAATCAACAAAATGCAAGAAACGTTAACATGTTATAATCAAAATTACCTATCAAAAGACAGAAATATCTCTTCAAAGCCGCATCATTTTCAAAATTTTCTGCTTTTCTCCTCCTCGATTGACTTGCTCGCAGCGCGCTGCTGAGAGGTTGGGAAGAGGAGGAGGTTGGTCCCAAGGCAAGAACGATGGAGGAAGCCGTCCGACATGGAGAAGGGCTGCGAAGAAATTGGTTGCTGCGGATGAAACGATGAAAGCCGAAGCGTGCAACGCAACGACATCGTTTCCGTAAGTGTATAGAGAAATCTAAACCGTTGGAATACGAAAAAATCTTAGCCATCCATTAAAGCCGTGCTCATCCTCTTGCTTCAAACATTTGAAGTCAATTATGAAGTCAAAAGCCTGACACTAATGGCATTGATACTCTTCTGCAAGTAAGACCTCGCGCAACTGCGAAGGGCGAAGGCTGCGATCGAATCAGGGCCGAAGGCCGAAGGATCTGCGAGACTGCGACTGCCTAAGTGTTAAGTGATTCAAGCGAAGAAGAAAAAGCAAACACGAAGATGAGAACTGAAAAGTGTTAGGACTTGTTTGGAGCTCGTTTAAAACAGACTTTCAAACAAGTTCATGTAAATCGATATAAAACTCTCCTCACATATTTATTTCGTATTCTGTAAATCATGTTTAAAAAGTTACGTATAAGTCAATCTAAATAAACCCTAAGTGATGCCAAAGTTAAAGTTGAGTAGTAAGTAGCTCACATATGTTGTATCAAATTTATCATTATAACCATAAAAACAATAATAATAAAAACTTGACTTGATAAGATAATAAACAAATTTTTAAGAAGGCCTGAACCTATTTTTATATTGAAACAGGTCATGCGTAAAGGCGTAACACTGTTTCTATATTGAAATAGGCCATGCTTCTGTATTGAAATAGAAGCCAGGACTCCTGATAGCCAGTCATTGAATGGCAAAATTCTCTCTGCGCATTAAAAATACTACTCTTCCGGTCCTTAATATAAAACCCATTTAACTAATTTGATTAGATTAAGGAAGTTAGGTAAGTCAGTTAATTATAAGAAAAGTGACATGTTTTTCCTAAAACACCATAATCATCTTTCTTAATACCCCCTCCCCCTCTTCTACTTAATTATGGTTGAGGGAGTATCCATAGGGGTAATTTAGAGAAAATTGATAAATATGAGAAATGGGTCTTATATTTAGGACCAAAACCAACTCAACAATTGGATCCTATATTAAGGACCGGAGGAGTATTAAAAATAAATATGCACCATTAAAAAAGCTAATCACAACATTAAGTGTAAAAAAAAACAAATAACTCGGTATTAACACACTCAAGTTATTGATGCAAAGCACACTTGGGAACATATAATGTAAAAAATACCACGTGTTGGGATCCACGAAGTTTAATTTGAATAACCCAAGTTATTTGATTAAACATTTGACACTTTTTTCTCAATTATCATTGGTCCTAGTCGATGTTTTTATCAAAACAATATGACATAAATCCATTAATTATTAGTAATTATTATTGAAAGGCGCATCTACCTTTCTTTATAACATTCTCCATTTCGTTTGATACAATGAAGAGTGACTAACCCTTGCTTGAATTGAGAGAAAATTAGGAGGGAAAGAAAATATGAGGAGAAACAAGTTTTTTCTTACTTGGATAGGAGAGAAAATGTGAGAGGAAAGAAAAGTATGAAAGAAAATAAAGTGGGTCCCATGCCTCATTTTCTTTTCAAATTTTCTCTTCATATATAGAGAGATTTGGAAAGAAAAACAAGAATTTCATGACTACCCCTCTCCTCTCTTCCTCTCCATATTTATTTTCTTTTATTATATTCAAAAAGTTATTCACTTTTTATTTTTTATCTTAAAATAATATTTTTATTAAATAATTTGGTTTTAAAATATGATAATATGAAAATATATATAAACCCAATAACTTGATTTTAAATTATTTGATGATGTTAATGTTAATATAATTTTTCTATTGCAGTATTTCATTTAATTTAACTTTAAATATAATATATTTTGATCAGGACATTTTGGTCATTTAGTGCTTATTTGGTTTGATGCAATGCATTAGTATTCCCAGTAATTTTGATGCAATAACCTCTTTCAAGCGTTTGGTTGGCATAGTTAGGTGGTAAAAGAGATTACAAAATACATCATGATTACTTCATACAAGGTAATAGGGATTACATCCATAATAATAATAAAGAATAGGGATTACACGTGTGAATCAAAAAAAGACAATATTTGCCCTTACCTTCTTAATCATCTTCATTGACCACTGCCAACCCTCCTCCACAGGTGGCCTTCCTTCTGTTGAGGACACCCCTCTGTTAACTGAACAACTTCATCTTCCCTGTTAACTTCATCATCATGAGGATGAAAATGAAAAATGAACCAATGCTAGCAAAAAGTAAAAACAGAAATATAAAAACAAAGATCCAGGCAATGAAAATGCGACTAGAATAATCTTTATTGGAGATGATGAAGATGTCGCACTTGGACATGAAAGAAAGTAGGGGTGAGGATTTTTTTGGAAGTGGGATGTTTTTATTTCTAACTTGTGAGATTAGTGATTCTACTCATGTGACAAACCTGGATTGGAAAGAACGTAGGGGGTGAGGAATGATCATTCCGGGGGAGGAAGGATCAAGATGAATGAAGGCTAACAATGATGGGAAAGTATTATGTTAGTGGACGAGGAAGAGGAAGGAAGTAGTAAATCAAAGAAAAAATTTATTTGTGTAAGAGCTTTTTTTTGTAATTTTAATTTTATTTGTATTTGATTAAATATAAATAATAAATTTAATTTTATCATTCTTAATATTGTACCAAACAATTTTATTGTAATCATAATTGCATTACATTATATTCCTAGTCACTCCATTCCATTATATGCTCATTGATCCCATGAACCAAATGAGCCATATTTGCTTTTTCTTAATTTATTTTCTCTCCGCAAGAAGGATGATAACATCTTTCATTCAGTTTTTTCTTCTTTTTATTTTCTCTCTTTCCAACTTTTCTCCTCGTCCAAACAGAATATAAGTTTAAAGATCAAAACACTATACTTGTCCCACATGTTAATAAACAGTAAGATGCCAAATCATGAATTCTTAAATAATAGTGCTTGGATTTAGAAAAAGAATTAGTTTTTCATGATGTGGTAAAATAATATTCAAATTCTTATAAAAAAAATTAAAAATGGCAAACTATTTTTATTTTTTATTTTTCCCAATTCAACGCTTGAAATAAGAAAATTTTGTATATCACTTATTTTTGAAGCTTTGTCCACTGACTAATGTGTGGTTACGAAACATAAGATTCATAACAAACTGTACAATTAAATGGTGTGATTCCCTTTGTATTCTCTATATATTATTGGTCCTTAATATAAGAGCTAGTTGGCTAATTTGAATAGATTAAAGAAGCTAGTTAAGTTAGTTATTTGTAATAAATAAATGTTGTTTTACTTAAAAATCTTTACTAATTTAGTGTATTGTTAGAATTATCATTATTACAAGGACTATTCTAAAAAAATAGATAAATATGATAGACAAAATCGATTGAAGTCTTATATTTATGATTAAAATAAAAATCAAATAAGTCGTGTATTACATAGTATTATTGTAAATTTTTTTTTTTTTTGAGCCACATCTTCGTTACAGTTTAATGCGTCCCCCTAACAAGACGATCCTTACGTGCTACGTACCTGCAAGGCGGGACGGAAAGTTCCAGTCCGATCACGGAAGGGCTTCATTCGCCATAAATTAAAACTCATCTTCTCCAATTCACGAAACAGATCGGAGGAGAAAAAACAAAGAAACACAAAAATGGGTGCAGACGAGGTACCCCTAGACGATAAAGCAAAGAGAATGAGAGAACTCCTGTCCAGTTTCTACTCTCCAGGCCCTCCAATGTCGCCCAACTCCAGAAACATCTCCAAATACGCTTCGCTCGACGACATTAACTCCACCTCCTTCGATCCTGGTCAATACATGAATCTCGTGGTAATTCTTGTTCAAAACGAATCACCATTTATTTGTTTGTAGTTTTGAGATAGACTTTAGTATGACATTCTTTCCTATAAGAGGCTGATGAAGAAAGCAAATAAGATCGCTGAGAAGTGCACTAGGCACATAACACCATGTTTATGTTGAAACTTGCTTTCGTTGTGGAAGACGAGTTTGAATTCGGAAAGCAAACGAACAATCGAATTTCTTATTGCGTCTGTCCATAAACTATGAAGGCACAAAAGTCGAATTTGGAAGGACTACTCCAGAGGCATGTTGACTTAGCCGCTGAAATAAAGAATCTTGACACTGATTTGCA